GTCGAGATTCCTTGAGGCCTTCTTGGAGCTTTAGAAAGTGGTTTTGGCTTGAATTGTTGCCTACAATTGTTCTTTGCTTCAAGAGGTATAATACTCCCCTTTACAACTTGTTTTGCATACTTGCTTTTCTCATCTTTTCCCACTGATTTTGGGCTATTTTTGGGCTGTATAAAACCTATATTTTTGGGCTGAAACTTGTGATTTTAAGGCCAATAAGGTTGAGGGGTGGTCCACCCTTCTTTATACCTTGCTCTCAAGGTCTTTACCCTTGTGTTTCCCACCTTTGCATTATCTTTCTTTGAGCTTTTAAAAACTGATTTTCAGAGTATATTCAGTGATAAAATTCATGTTTTGAAGTCCAAAATTGGAAGGTTAGCCTCCCTTCCTTGTGTTCTGTTTGCTAGCCTAGATAGCTCTATGTGTTAGCCTATTTTTCTAGCAATTTGTAGCTTAATTCCAGCATATTTTAGGCTCTATTTTGGACTATTTCAACTCTGTTTTTGGCTGGATAAGTCATTTGACTCTTGTTTTGTATGCCTCTAGTGTAATAGTCCTCACAAGCTTGGTGTTTTAGGCCTTTAGGCACCACTTGTTTGAGTTGATAGCATGTTTTAGTGCTTTTCTTGCTTAATTTCAGCACTTGTTAATCTCTGCAACCTCCTTCATTTCTTCACTTTTTATTTGTTTTGAGAGTTGTTTCAACCTGGGGATAGTTTAAGCTTGAGATTGAGATTCATTGCTTAATGATTTAATCCTCTTTTGGGGGTTCATTACCAATGGCATGAAACTTCTCTCATGCCTTAAACTATGCCTTGTTTGACACTTCCTTCCCTTTAGAGGACTTTTTACCAATCGACTTAATTGGTTAAAGAATGGGTTGGTAAGTTAAAATGGGTAAACAAGTTGAAACTAAAATGATGCAAGATAAGAAATTGGTTTTGCTTTGATGTGCTCAATCGGACATTAATTGAACACAAGGAGAATTGGGGCATTTCATACTCAAAGTGATGAATTGTGTCAAGTTTCCAAGGTCTCCATTGCCCTTGTGTCACGACCTAAACCTGCCCCTAAAAGTTTGGACATAACCGGCCTGACCTGAGGTCTCAACTGTTAACTTAAATTTTATTCAATATTAGGGCCTGAACATAAGCTAGATAATAGAATAAAACATTCATTGAGCTATGACTACATGCCAGGATCTTAATGTATCGTCATACATAAGTACATAACATTTGATACACCACTCACATTTACTGAATGTGGAAAAGGGTATCAACCCCAAAAGTTAGGTATTGATAGTATATACACATGTCTATTCTTCCAAATTCCAACAAAACATGCCAACACACGGTTTCCCAAAAATAAAACAAAAGAGTCACTTCGGCTGACTCAGCAAAACGGGTCTAGCGAAAGGCTCTCGGGCTAACCTAAGGTTATCCCGCGATCTGATTACCTACAAAACATCCATAAAAATGGAGTGAGCAAGGCTCAGTGAATGATAACAATGCAAATAGATCAGGAGTTCAAGTATAATTTAACAATGCATATTCTTAAATCATAAGTTGGTCTTATTCATATTTCCTTTCCTAAACGGCCTCGGGCCCACATAAGACAAAACGGCCTTAGGCCCAACATAATATAGAATGGCCTTAGGCCCATTACAATAGCAAAATGGCGTCGGGCCCAGCGAAATACAAAGTGGCCTTAGGCCCATCATATTAACAAAACGGCCTTGGGCCCATCATATTAGCAAATAGAACGACCTCGGGTCCATATCTCTTGTGCCAAAGTTCAAACATATATCAAACATGTCTCATATAACATAAGTTGTTTACTAAGAGAGTGAATAAGATATCGACCAACATATATAAACACAATATGTGAATAAAACATGATATTACACTACCATCACTCACTGTCATGTGGGTGAACGATGGTCCCCTCTTGTATGTGCCCTACACATAGCACACAACTCGTAAGTACATCACCTTTCCTTAGTTTCCTCTTATTTCTCAATTATTCGATTCGTTAAGTTTCATGTAATTAAACACATTATAGGAACATCGAATGGACATAATAACACATTTAGAGAGTTGAAAAGAGCGAAAGAAAATCACAGAATTTTTCAACTTAGGCCGCACGTGTGGGCAGGTGCGCCACTCGTGCTTTTATTATAGTGTAGCTGTGAGCCCCACATGTGCGGTTATGCTTCCCGCACGTGAGGCCCTGAACCTCCTACACGTGTGGTTCTGGCTTAGTTTCTAGGCAGTTCGAAATTCATCAAAATCCAACTTTCAAAAGCATTTTAAGGCTCAAATACAAGAAAAATTCCTTTCTTCGACACAACATAAGGATGTAATACACATGATTCTTAACCCTAAATAGATCATAACTTATTTAAAGGTCATCTATGAAACTTAAGGATCATATTCTTTGCATTTTCTCACCTTACCATGATGAACCCAAAAGGGATACAATATATATATATATATATAGACCAAAACATGCAAATCTTGAAGCTATTCCTTCAAATTAACTCAAAACAAACCCAAAATATGAGATTTAACTCATAGTTTAAATAAATACAAGGAAACTTGATAATTTCCATGGATTTATCTCAAACAAGTTCTCTTGGTCAAAACCCTAACTTTGGTGATCATAAAACCTCAATAGTGCCTGATATTCATCAATCAAAGGGGAAATTTGGAGGATTTAAGTTAGTTTACACTCACCTTGAATTTCAATCCTCACTCTTGTTGAAGCCTCCTCTCTTTCCTCTTTTTCTCTAGCACCCTCTATCACTCTCTCAGGAGATATCTTTTTTTTGTGTTGGCACTAAGTCACCCAAGACTCTTATATCTATCTAGGTATAAGATTTAACAGGGTTGAACCTAAATTTTCCCAATTAATTCATTATGAATCAAATTTTTACAAAACTTGATATTATGTCCCTAAAATCATGCTAAACATAAATATAAAGGCAATTTTGGGTTATCGCGCCTCTAAGGCTTCCAATTTCAAGTTCAAACGTCCTAATTTTAACAGATGTTCTCCAATAACCAACATATAGAATGACATAATTAAATAATTCAAATATGTAAACACAACTCCACATGGAATTTCACATTAAACATGTAATTATTCATAGAACTAGATATGTAAAGCATATAAGAGGGTCGGGTTATTACACCTTGATCATGCATGACCCCCACCTTAAATAAGTTTGGTCCTCCAAACTTGTTTTACCTTAGGTTAAAAATAATTTGAGATACTGCTGTCTTATTTCCTCTTCTCTCTCCCAAGTTGCTTCTTTCCCATAATGTTCTTGCCACTCCACTTTCACCATAGGGATCACTTTACTTCGTAGTTGCTTCATTTGCCGGTCTAGAATCTGAATTTGTTTCTCTTTATAAATCAATTTATCATCCAAGGTAATTTGTTGATAGTCTATTACATGGGATGGATCTTGAAGATACCTTCGTAACATTAATACATGAAACATGCTATGCACTTGCTCCATATTAGGCAGAAGAGCAACACGATAGGCTACTGGACCTACCCTTTCCAGGATTTGAAACGGACCAGCGTATCAGGGTGCTAACTTACCCGTTTTGCCAAATCTTGAGTGTCCCTTTATTGGCGTGACTTTCACAAAAACATGATTACCCACTTCGAATTTTAAATCCCTTCGCCAGTGATCTGCATAACTTTTTTTTCTACTCTGCGAGGTCTTTAACCTTTCTTGGATAGTTTTAATTTTCTCTGTTGTCAATTGAACAATCTCGGGTCCAAACAACGACTTGTCACTGACTTCAGTCCAGCACACGGGAGAGCGACATTTTCTTCCATATAGAGCTTCATAGGGTTTCATTCCTATGCTTGAGTGGTAACTGTTGTTGTATGCAAATTTTGCCAACAGTATATGAGTTTCCCAACTTCCTTTGAAGTCCAAAGCACACATCCGAAGCATGTATTCCAACGTTTATATAGTTCTCTCGGATTGTCCATCTGTTTGAGAGTGGAAGGCTGTACTGAATTTCAATTTTGTATCCCAAAGCATCCTGTGGACTTCACCAAAATCTTGATACAAACTTTGGATCTCTGTCAGACACGATTGAAATTGGAACACCATGTAGTCGCACAATTTCATCCACATATATGGTAGCCAGCTTGTCTGTGTTGTATTGAGTCTTTACAGGTAGAAAATGGATTGACTTAGTTAGTTTATCAACAATAACCCATATGGAATTCATTCCCCGAGGAGTTCGCGGTAAACCCACAATAAAATCCATAGTTAAATGTTCCCATTTCCATTCTGGGATTGGGAGGGGTTGAAGTAAACCCGCTGGTCTTTGGTGCTCCACTTTTACTTGTTGGCATTGCAAACATTTTAAGACAAATTCTACAATTTCCCTCTTCATACTAGGCCACCAAAAATTCTACCTTAGATCTTGATACATTTTCGTCTTACCGAGATGCATCGCAAATTTGGAATCATGTGCTTCCTCCATAATTCTTCTCTTAATTTCTGGCACATTTGAGACACATAATCTGCCTTGAAATTTCAATACCAAATTTTTAATCATGAATCCGAACTTTGGCTTTGTTTCTATTTCATCACAAATTTTCTGTAAAAATTCATCTTCCAGTTGCCATTGCTTGATTTTTTCTATAAATGTCGATTGAGCTGATATCGCTTCTACTATCGCATTTTGGCCATGTAACACAATTCCCACATTCATTCTTTCCAAGTCGCGTAACAGCTCCTTCTGCCTCGTAAGCAAACTTACTAAATTCCTCGTACCCTTTTGGTTAAGAGCATCTGCAACCGTGTTAGCTTTACCGGGGTGGTAATGGATTTGTAGGCCATAGTCCTTAATGAGCTCTAACCATCGTCTTTGTCGCATATTCAACTCCTTTTGGGTAAAAAAGTACTTAGGGCTCTTGTGATCGGTGTAAACTTCACAAGTAATTCCATACAAATAATGCTGCCATATTTTTTAGGCAAAGACCACTGCAGCTAGCTCAAGATCGTGTGTGGGATATTTCTTTTCATGGGGTTTAAGTTGGCGAGAGGCATATGCAATAACCCTCCCATTTTGCATAAGTACATAGCCTAAACCTTTGTAGGAAGCATCACTAGAAATGACAAATCCTTTGGTGCCAGATGGCAAGGCAAGAATAGGTGTTGTAGTTAACCTCGTCTTCAACTCCTGAAAGGCAAATTCTCGTTGTTCCGACCATTCAAACAAGACACCTTTCTGAGTTAACTGAGTAAGCGGCACAACAATTTTGGAAAAATCTTTAACAAATCTTCGATAGTACCCGGCTAACCCCAAGAAGCTACGCACCTCGGTTACATTGGTAGGAGTTGGCCAATTCACAATAGCTTCAATTTTGTGTGGGTCGACAGAAACACCCTCTTTTGTTATGACATGAACCAAAAATCCGACTTCATGCAACCAAAATTCACATTTCTTCAATTTTGCATACAGTTTCTTATCCCAAAGAGTTTAAAGAATTAACCGTAGGTGGTTCTCATGGGCTTCCATACTTATTGAGTAAATGAGGATGTCGTCAGTGAACACAACCACAAAGTCATCCGGATAGGGCTTAAAAACTCAGTTTATTAGATCCATAAAGGCCGCTGGCGCATTGGTGACCCCAAATGGCATAACTAAAAATTCATAATGTCCGTAACAGGTCCGAAAGGCAGTTTTCTCGATATCCTCAGCTTTAACCTTTAGTTAGTGATACCCAGATCGCAAATCTATTTTAGAGAAGACTTGTGCACCTTGTAACTGATCAAACAAATCATCGATCCTAGGCAAAGGATACTTATTCTTTATGGTTACTTTGTTGAGTTCTCCATAATCCACACATAATCGAAGGGTTCCATCATTCTTTTTCACAAAAAGAACTGGTGCACCCCAAGGAGAAGTGCTCGAGCGAATGAACCCTTTGTCGAGGAGGTCTTACAACTGGATCTTGAACTCTTTCATTTCAGCGGGTGACATTCTATAAGGGGTCTTGGAAATGGACTGATTTCCTGGCACTATATCAATTGTAAACTCAATTTCGCGATCAATTAACTCTCCCGGTAACTCTTTTGGAAAAACATCCAGAAAATCACGAATGATTGGGATTGCATCAATGCCTCCATCCACTGGTTGTTCACCCAAAATACTACATAAATACCCCTGACAACCCTTTTGTAATAATTTATACGCCTTTATTGTAGAAATCAAATAAGGTGGGGAAATTACCCTCTTTTCCTTGAAAGTAAACTCAGATTGTCCTGGGGATTGGAAGGTAACTTGTTTCGATATACAATCTATAGTCGTGTGATATTTACTTAACCAATCCATCCCCAAAATTATATCAAAATAAGCCATGCCAAGAGGTAGAAGGTTGGCATCTACCCAAACATTCCCCATTAGGATTTCACATGCAAAATAAATAGACGTACATACCATGGACTATCCCAATGGTAAGGATACACACAAGACATAAGGAAGCAATTCCATAGGCCTATTTAAATGACTAGCAAATGCTTTTTATACAAAGGAGTGGGTAGAGCCTGAATCAAATAACACATGTGCAGAATAACCATTTACAGAAAATGTACCTAATACCACAGCCTCAGTATTCTGCACGTCCCCCGGAATTAGCACAAATACCCTTCCCTGTTTAGCAGTATCTTTATTATTGGCGAGTTTCATAGCTGTCTTTGTAGTTGGTGTAAGAGTTGATCCGGCTAAACATGTGGTGGTTCTATTCCTATTTTGTAGATCTTTTTATGGGCATTCTCTGGCTGAATGACCTGTCTTGCCACACTTGAAGCATGCCCCTGTTACCCGATGACAAATCCCAGGGTGTTTCTTTCCATAATCCGAACAAATTGGTGCAGAGTCACGGGTAGAGGCGGATATACTAGAGGTTCCTGAATTCAATTTCTTACTTGGTGGTGTCACCGAACCCCTTGAAGCTTGGGTATCCTGTCTCTTCCCTTTCCACTCTGAGACCCAACTTTGAGCGACAATATTACCTTCAGTGATTACTGCCCTTTTCAACACATCAACATACGTAGGTAGTTTCAGCACATTGATCCGATCGAGAATAGCAGTCCATAATCCACCTTCAAACTTTCTTGCCTTCTTGTAGTTCGTATCCACCATATGTGGAGTGAAACGAGCCAATTTAGCAAATTGAGCCTCATAATTTGCAACAGTCCTATTCCCTTGTCTCAAGGTCTCAAACTCGGTCACTTTCTTATCTCGCATACATTGGGAAAAATACTTTTCATAGAACAGCTCCAAAAATCTAGCCCATGTTAACCCTTGATGTGCAGTTCTTGTGAGCATCCACCGCCTCTGTGCTTCGTCTTCAAGAGTGAAGGAAGCAAGTTGTACTTTTTGGGCTTCAGTACAAGGAAAAACCTCAAATAACTTTCTATACCCAACACCTACGCTTCTACTTTCATTGGTTCAATTCCCCCTTTGAACGAGGGCGGCTTCATCTTCTTGAATTCCTTCATGAGTGTAATTGTTTGGTCCTCAGCTTGGTGATCATGTACCTCTGGTAGTGGTACAGGCACTAGTGGTGGTGGTGGTTATTGCTGCTGCTGTTGTTGCCTCAAGGTTTCTGCCAACTCCATAATCATTCTTTCCATTCTATCCAACCGTACAGAGGTAGAATCTTCCGGATCATCTGTCTTCGTCCTCACCATGATCTACATAATGGTTTGTTATAATACACACAAAATGCACAAGTAGGCATGGATCATAGTCATTACCAAAATATATATATCAGTGATTATTGCATGTACAATTTAGCTGCTACATATCATTTTATATGTGCAAAAGTCACATGCATGTAACTTAAGTTTGTTCTAGATGCCCTAAAGCTCAATGAACTCGTGTGTAAGGTAGAAACTCGTGCTCTGATACCAACTGTCATGACCCAAACCTACCCCTAAAAGTTTGGACATGACTAGTCTGACCTAAGGCCTCAACTGTTAACTTAAACTTTATTCAATATTGAGGCCTGAACGGAAGCAAGATAATAGAATAAAACATTCATTGAGCTATGACTACATGCCAGGATCTTAATGTATCATCATACATAAGTACATAGCATTTCATACACCACTCACATTTACTGAATATGGAAAAGGGTATCAACCCCAAAAGTTAGGTATTGACAATATATACACATGTCTATTCTTCCAAATTCCAACAAAACATGCCAACACACGGGTTTCCCAAAAATAAAACAAAAGAGTCATTTCGGGTGACTCAACAAAACGAGTCGAGCAAAAGGCTCCTGGGCTGACCTAAGGTTGTCCTGCGACTTGATTACCTACAAAACATCCATAAAAACGGAGTGAGCAAGGCTCAGTGAATGACATCAATACAAATAGATCAGGAGTACAAGTATAATTTAACAGTGCTGTGGGGATCGAATATTGGGATACGTAAAGAGGCTGAATAGTTGGACCTGGAGAGTCGAAATTCATATATCGTATTCGACCCCATCTTATACATGCAAATCCAACAGTACCCTATTCGGCCAAATAACCAATTAAGTAAGGGGCCAAGTGAAGAGTGTTTTACAACAAAATGAGCCGAGTAAATAGTTATATGATGAATTGAAGGTGGGCCCAGCCTTGAAGCCCAAGAAAGAAAAACATATAAATAGAAGAACATCATCCAGAGAGAGGTATGTGAGAATTAGTATGTTTAACTTAAGATACAAGCAATCAAGAGAGTATACACTAACTTATCCGTCGGAGTGCTAATTCCGGCAGCCCCGACCGGAGTGTTCATTCTTTTTCAGGTTACTAGCTGAGGATCACGAGCATCCCATTGGATCCAGAGAGTATTTCCAAACCACTTCACCACAATTGGCACCATCTGTGGGAATACTTAACTACATCCATGGCGGGCGTAACGGAAGATCCTCCGATAGTCACTAACGAAACCAACTAGAGAGATGACCTCACTCCAACAAACATGCTAGGACCGGAGAACATCACCGCGAGACGCGCCTTGAACTTCGACTCCGTTACCCATACCTCACCCTCAACTTCAGCACATGAGACAATGCAAGCGATCATGGAATAGGCGAAGCAAAATGAACAGAGGTTGGAAAACATGATTGTTGAGAATGAGCGCCTTCGGCAGGATTTGGCTTTGGAAGTGGCAAAGTCTAAACAAGTCACGCGCCAAGATCCGGGACGACCTTTGAGAGCAGATGGTCGAAGACCTCGAGTTCGGAGACAAGATAGTGATAGTGACTTTGACTCATTATCCTCGGAGCCCAAAACGAAGGGACGACTCGAAACTACCAGTTCCTCTGAAGAGAGTCCACGTGTAAGGCATAAGCGAAGACGAAATGGTTCAGACGAAGAAGACCAGCACGATCCCTTTGTGCGACGGATCGCAAAGGTAGTACTACCCAAGAAGTTCAAAGCCCCGTCATTCACCCTGTATGACGGGAAATCGGACCCCACTGATCATATCTGTCATTATAAGCAAGCCATGGCTCTGCATGTAGATGAAGAGGCTCTCATGTGCAGAATATTCCCGAGCAGTCTGGGACCATTGGCCGGCAGTCTGGGACCATTGGCCGTCAGATGGTATTAGAAGTTGGAGCTGGCGTCGATTAAGAGTTTCCATCAATTACAGAAATCCTTCAGGGCAAGATTCATCACCAACGAGGTCCAGCCGAAGCAAGCCGACTCTCTCTGGGCAATGCAGATCCAGCCAGAAGAAACCTTACGAGCGTATTCGGTGCTCTATTGGGAGTGCTTTAATCTTGTTGATGGCGCTTGCAATGACTCCATGGCCATCACCGCCTTTAAAATGGGTTTGCATCCTGATAGTGCTCTCTGCAGTTCCTTGACTAGAAGGCCCCCCAAAACAGTCTGGTCGTTGATGAAGAAAGTCGGGAAATACTGCAAAGTGGAAGATGATGCCTTACGGGTTAAAGCCGGGAACAACGCTAGCAAGACTGCCCCTTCCGAAATTGTTCAGCCAGTAAATTTTGTACCACCTTGAATCCCCAAACCACGGCATCGGGCTAAACGAGACAAGAGATGGGATTCACACCGATCAAACGACCAATGTTCCCACAGAGCTAGTGAATAACTTCAAGTAAATAGCTGGCGCACAAGGCGCGTGAACAAGAAATATACAGAGTTGTCAGAGCCGATCAGCGTGGTTATGTCTAATGTCCAACACCTTCCGTTCTTCAAGTGGCCATCCAAAATAGTGGGACCTCTCGACACGAGACGATGGAATAGGCGATGCGAGTATCACAAAGACCACGGCCAAGATACTGAGAGTTGTTATGCATTGAAGGATCACTTGGTGGAATTGGTACAAGATGGTTGACTAAAACAGTACGTCCGAAAAGGAAACTCAACCAAAGTAATAGCCTTACAGCAGGATTTACTTCCACTCGGCGTGATCCACATGATATACAGCCTGCCAATGGCTTACGCGGTGCATACGATTCAGTCGCATCCCGACACTCAAAATCAAATCACTCTGGCCAAACGGCCCCATAAAGCTGTGAGCATTGCATTTGATGATTCAGATTTGGCCGGAGTGACACTTCCTCACATTGATCCCTTGGTAATCGAGTTACGCATAAATCGATTCACCGTTGAGCGCGTACTCATTGATCTGGGGAGCACATCGGAAGTTATGTATTACAAGACATTCACCAAACTCGGCTTCGCCAAATAGGATCTCTCTCCCTAGCTCCTTATCCACTATTTGGCTTCAACGCTAATCCAGAATATCCGTTGGGCAAAATCACACTACCAGTTCGAGCTGGCTTGAGAACAGTGGATGTGAAATTCTTGGTTGTCAAGCTGCCTTCGCCGTATAATCTCATCATGGGACGAACTTGGCTGCACACCATGCAGGCCGTGCCGAGCACCTATCATCAATTGCTTCGCTTCCCGACTGATCGCGGCGTTGAACAAATTCGTGGTTCGCAAAAATCAGCACAAGCATGTTATCTCCTTGCCGCGAAGACACCAAGAGAGTGTAGACGTCCCCGAACGTCTCGGGAGGGAATCCCCCATTTTGTTCATTGGGGCTCACTACAGTTCAGACTCAAATGTCACGGTTCTTAATCTAATCTCGTAAAGTGCAATGCAAGACTGATAAATCACCAAAGTGTCCAAATCTGGCAAATCATTTTGGAAAACTGATTTTTAGAAAGAAATGCCAAACATGGACTGCTTTGCCAGATACAGAGTCCCCACCTAAATATTTTGTTTTGGGGCAATTTAGGAAACCCTGACTTGTTGCCTAAGGCCATGTGTCCATCATCACCAAAGTTGCCTCAGCTCGGGAACTTGGGTACGATTGGGGAAGGTCAGCTATGAGCACCCCCGCTCACCCGATCAAAGATCAGCCACTACTAAACATCATATCGATTTTTGAAAACATTATGTGCTCTTATTCCGGTTTATTAGCCTAGAATTACTACGTGATGCTCACAGCAAAACAAGTATAGACTGGATTGCCTAAGTTGGAACAAAGCATCGTATATCCGTTTGTTTCGAAAAATGGATTGAAGTTTGCTACTTGCAAGTAGGCTAAAACACGGGTTTCGACGAATAATTCCAACTCAAGCAACCCAACGTTCACCCACAGGCATTCATGCAGTTATATCACATAAGCATATAGCCTCATGGTAAGCA